AGCATCAACAACAGCTGTAGGGGCCTTCCCTTTACCACGGAAGACGAAGCTTGAATTTGGAGGGTTAGCCGTCGGTTGGCTTCTCTCGGCTTTCTTCCTTCTGAGGAAGTGTTCGGCCTGCTCTCCGCGCACTTTCAACACTTTTCAGGTGTCAGATGGGGTTATCCTTATAACTTCCAATACGTCCAAAGAGAGGTTGTTGTGACAGGTTTGGAGGATAAAGTCCTCTGTGATCGGATCTCGGCGATTCATCACCTTATTCTGGAAGCGCTTGATAAAGTCATCGACCATCTCATCGTATTCCTGTTTCTCATCGAAGAGTGTCCTGATTGACACCTCGACATCATCATTAAAGAAGTGAGCGAGGAACAGGTTCTCCAGGTCGTCCCAGCTGTTGATACTTCCAGGCTTGAGACGATGGTACCAATCGAAGGTGGGCCCACGAAGGGTGCCAACGAATGACCGAACCATCAATGCTTCATCGTCGAAGATTATGCCTAAGTCGAACTTGAAGTAGATCAGGTGCTGAGTGGGCGAACCCTTCCTGTCAAACAGTATGAAGTTAATCAGGTTGAACTTCGTCGGATACGGGATCGACTCCCACTCTCTTAGGTAAGGACACAGAATACCGATCTTCTTCACCTCTCGTGCAAACATCAGAGCGTTGATTTTGCTCTCGAGATTTTTCATCTTCTCATCCTCGTCTGTATCATGCTTTGGACGATTTCTAAGAGGTGCAACGTGGCCACCCCCAACATTGTCATCTTCAGTGGGACAACGTCGTTATCTTTAGTGGGGCCACCCCCAACGTTTTGATCAATGGGAGGGTTATCCGCATCAAGGTGTTCGTCCATGTCTGAATTGTCACCTATCCGGTAGGCATTATTATGACAACTAGATTCATCAATTTGATTAGACAAGGCCCAAATCTGTTGGTCATGCTCTTCCCTTATCTGCTGCATAGCCATTTCCATTTCAATTTTGAATGCTTCTTTCTTCTTGTCTAGAGCATCCTTAACTATTTTGGCTACTTTCTCGGTGTTAATCATAAACACTTCGCGGGATTATCCTGGACTGGATACCGTTTTGTCAGAAGCGACTACAGAGTTGGAATCTGACGCTTCATCATCCGAGGATAATTCCCTCTGCATTCTCTGATAATCCCTACGTCTAGTAGTCCTTACGCGTAGATGAGTTAGACGATGCGATACGAGCGGGTCAGAAGTAGAAGGTCGAGTCGACTTTCCCTTATCAGCCATGTTAATTATGACTTTTGAAAGTTCGTCATCTTGAACAGCTGATCGTTTCTTACGGAGACGCTTTGGTTTGGACTTAGCCTTTCCGTTAGAGATTCTCCCGAATACTGAGACCCTCTGTGGAGCGGTCTTGGGGTAGCTACACGCTGATAATACTGTCCTAATAATCTTGGTGCACGGACAGTGAGAGTCCGTTTCTCGGGTGCTTCTCTTCCGAGACTTGTTCGTACCCTCAGCCCAATAGTACAACTCATCGGCATGATTAACAGAGCAATCTATTATGTGCTTGCACGACTTCTCAAGTATAACGTCGTCATTTGACAAACACGTTTCCTTCTGAGGAATTATTGCCTTGATGGCGTTCTCAAGGGTCACACGTTTAGAGTCACGTTTTCATGAGCGTGGGACCTTAACGGGCTCTTGGACACTGACTCATAGTCCAAGGCGGTCAGTTATAGGAGTTTCCCATTATAGAAAGGCTTTGACATGTTGCGAGGGCGTGTGTGACCCCCAGTTTGATGAGTTGCTCGGGGTTCAGTCAATGGGCCCAAGTGTTCTTTAATCGGAACTTTGCTTCGATCCTTGTGCAAAGGACCCAGGCGATCTGTCATCCTTATCTTGAATCGGGACAAGTCCACGCTGCCGTAGGGCTCTGCTGGAGGTATGTGATTCATCGGGACAGAAACAGGGGCTGTCGCAAGCTTAAACGGGACTACGGGAGGTGAACCAGGTGCGACCAAACCGAATCGGATACAAACCAAACTGGGTACGAACCGAACCGAACCGGGTGTGAACTAGTGTGAACCACCACTTGGTGGCTGCGCTTGGGCCGAGCCACCAGATGGTGGTTCACGCATTCCGGCAGTTCCAGGTGCTGTTTGACTTTTTGTCGATGTCGTTTCGGACTTTGGTTTCCAGACTTGGCGTGGTTCCGGTGGCTTCTTGATCACCTCTTTTTGCCTCAGCTTCTGCGCTTCTTGCATGAGAATCCGTGCGTGCACAATCAAGGCGCGGCGCTTCTGAATGTGCTCTTTGAGGGTTGAGCGGGACCCTTTGACTTGGATCCATTCATCCGCTGTTGGTTTGGAGGAGAGGACATCTGTTTGCTGCTGGGGCACTCGGTGCCTTATGAGTTTCAGATCCGCCTCATAGCAGATCCCATTAACAAGCTCTAAAGCCTTGGCGAATTGACGCGCAAGCCGTTGACGCTTCCTTTAGCGAGCTCTCTTTGATAAAGTGGGTGCGGCTACAGCGGCTATCTCCTTGATTGAGGAGTCCAGATCTGCAGATCCGGCCTCGTTAGAGGCCAGAGGTGCGTTATAAGGCGAGATGGCAGCAGCAACGGAGGCCTTGATCTTCTTGGGCGCTGTTTGACTTTTTGTCGATGTCGTTTCGGACTTTGGTTTCCAGACTTGGCGTGGTTCCGGTGGCTTCTTGATCACCTCTTTTTGCCTCAGCTTCTGCGCTTCTTGCATGAGAATCCGTGCGTGCACAATCAAGGCGCGGCGCTTCTGAATGTGCTCTTTGAGGGTTGAGCGGGACCCTTTGACTTGGATCCATTCATCCGCTGTTGGTTTGGAGGAGAGGACATCTGTTTGCTGCTGGAGCACTTGGTGCCTTATAAGTTTCAGATCCGCCTCATAGCAGATCCCGTCAACAGGCTCCAAACATTTGGCGAATTGGCGCGTGAGGCGTTGGCACTTCCTTTGGCGAGCTCTTTTCGATAAAGTTGGTGTGACTAAAGCGGCTATCTCCTTGATTGGGGAGGAGTCTAGATCTGTAGATCCGGTCTCATTGGAGGCCGGAGGGGCGTTGTAAGGCGAGATGGCAGCAGCAATGGAGGCCTTGATCTTCTTGCGCTTGTGAGGGGCGGAGGATCTGGAGGAGGAGGACGACAGATACTCCTCGAACTTCAGTTGGTCGAATTCGTACTCGACTTCTTCATCAACCGGGATCTAGATCCGTGGTTGCAGCACGACAGCTTCGGCAGCGAAGCTGTTGGCTCTCACTGTGGTCACCAGCGTATTTGGGTCAGAAATTACTGTTTTTATTATCATCGAATCTATTACAACTTTAACCGTTACAATAAAATCAAATAAATAAAAACTCGATCTTTTTATAAGATCTTCTTACATAATGAAAATATAAGATTACAATTCCTTCAAACAAAACACAACAGATGTTTATCGCCTGTTGTTTGCGTGAGATCTTTGCTTGTGCCGGGGACGTTGATATTCGTGGACCGCCACTGATTAGATCCGGTTGACAAATTAAAAATCAAAGCTCCTACTTCATGAAGGAAATATTCGCTGAAGTGGTAATCCTGACCAAGTGAGATTACAACTCTTCTTGGGATTTAAGACCAAGCTTAAATCCGGAGGAATATGGGGGAAAAGGGGTTTCAGATCTCTCGAACTCTCTTTTTGTTTATGGAAAAACTTCGCCAAGATCTGCTAACCCTCTGAAATTTGTGGCTTCACTTTTAATTTTGACAGCACCTCGTCCTCTTGATCACCGCCCTGTGAAATGAGCCCCTAGGCCTGTATTTATAGCCTTTGATTGGGGGTTTTCGGATAAGAATGATAGATTCAGCCCAATCTTCAGTTGATAACCGTATAACCACGTTTGTGGATGATATCCAATTAGTTAGGACACTCAGTAACGAACAAATCCCGAGAAAACCCGTCGAAAACCATCAAAACATGTTTTCGGACAAAATCTGCCGAACCGGGTTCAAACGAACCGAGCCAGTTTGGTTTAGGCGCGAACCACCAATTGGTAGCTCGGCCTTGGCCGAGCCAGTTCGTACCACCTCGGTTTATTTTAGCTCTAACTCTCTCGTTCGATCTTAGAATAAGGTGATTCAAGATGCATTGGAAAGCTGACGAAGGGACCTACAACTTTTATTTTTTAAGTTTCTTTAGAATGAAATCATATCATGGTCGAAATGTCACCTCTTTGTGAGAGCCGCCAAATGGTGGCTCGCAGCCTTGCGAGCCAGTTCGTACCATCTCGGGTATTTTGGCTCTAACTCTCTCATCTGATCTCGGAATAAGGTGAGTCAAGATGCATTGGAAATCTGGTGAAGAGACCTACAACTTTCAATGGATGAGCCACTCATGGTGTGGGTGAGACACACATGGTGTTTCGCTCCTTTTGGGCGAAACACAACTCCTGGCTGAGTTGTTTTGCCATTTCGCGTGTCACATTGACTCGTACGCTTAACTGATTCACTTCATACATTTCGTTAATTTGGAGGTGGCCGGTGAGCGCACGGGCCACTTGGTTCGCTGATTCGCTTCATGCGCTTGTCGGTGTCAGATGATCCTCTTTGACTCGGATGTCCCCTTCGACTTGGATAATGACATTCATCGCCTTCTCTTTGTCTCGAGTTGTGTGCGGACACCTATAGGCATTTTTAGACGCCTACAAAGGGTTAACTGATAATCGTCGTCCAAAGTTAAGTGAGGTTTAATTTCCTGATATTTCATCTTTTCTTTTGCTTTCTTCTATTTTGTCACTCTTTTCAAGTGCAAAAATCCTTCCTTTAGATTTGAATGCTACATATCATTTATGAAGATGACTAAGATGTAAATGTATATTGTAACATTTTGAAAGCCAGTTGACTTTGTCTCCATCCATACTTTCTCCATTATTACCTGCGCTAAAGACGGTGTACTATGCCTCCCTATCCAGAGAAAACTTAGCCGAACACCACCTTTTTCTTGGCCTACATTCAAAATTCCTTCTATGTATACCCCAAAAGCGAAAACGAACGTGAAGAATTAAAGAGAGAAATGGCATCAAAAGAGAAAATGAGCGTAATCCGTCATCTCCTATGCTTGCTGGTTTTGACGATCCTTGTCTCCTCATGCACCTGTGACGAGGGAGGGCAGGACTCATGGGCTGCTTGGGCTCAAGAAAAGGTGGTCGAGTAAGTAATTAATTTCTCGAATTTGTGAGCTAGATGTGCAATATTCTCAAATAAGGAAATTATATGTGAATTAATTACGATTTGTGTGTGTCTACACGTGCATTTATAATGACTTTCTTGCTTATTGTTTAAACTTTTTCATCTACACTTCTATCTTACATATGTCCGATGAAAATCGTTTTCATTTAATGTTCAATATATAAGATAAATAGAGCCTTTCTCTGCGACACACCAAAATACTGTAATATATTAATGTCATGCAAATGGTACAAATAACAAATAGGTAAAACTATTTGAAAACCCGAGGGTCTGACTATTAATAAAAAGTTTGCATGGGGTACTTTTACTCCCAAATATCCAAATAAAATTATTTCTCTGATTTCTTTGCATGTACTATATCGGTTGTATGCGATCAATACTTATAAGAGAAGAGCGAAGCTTTCTGCAGCTCGCGTAAATATTTAGGAGACCGTTCTGCACCATGTTAACGTCTTGCCATAAGCCCGCCCTGCACACAAGACGCGCCAACACACCCACACAGGACCTTCACCCCTGCACATACGTACATATATATGTTTCTGTGCACTTCTTTGCCTTTTCGAAATTTTTGATGGTGGTGCTATCACGTGCACACTGCAGGGGTCTCGGCCCACGACAAGAGAACGCCAAGGTCGCTGCTCGTCAGATGAGGGAGATGTTCGGCGACGCAGCTAAGAAGGCCAAGGATAAGATTTCCGATGTTGTCCCTGGTAATTAATTAGGACATAACTTTTAACCGCATGATTTTCATAAATTGCATTCTTCAATCTTAAATATTGAAATTGACAGGAGACGCAAAAGAGACTACTCACTCCCACAAGGACAAGAAATCCAAACATGAAGAAAAAGGAGCAAAAACTCATGATTCTCACAAACCAGAGAAAGCCAAAATTGGCCCACATGTGAAAATCGACCCTCTTCCTCAAGATCCTGAGGAAGTGAAAGGCATCGCCAAAATAACACATCCCTCTCGTAAATCCAAGGAACACAAAGAACATAACAAGGGGAAGAAAGAACACGAGAAAAAACTAAACAAAGCTAAACATCATGGTGCACCAAAGCACAATGTTGGCATGGCCTACGAGAGCACTAATCCAAGTTCTGTGGGTAATTCGAAGGGGAAGCAGTCTCATGTTGCTGAGGATATGAAGGGTGAGAAGATAAAGAGGCCACACCTGAAACGCGATTGAAATTTTGAAGCATATATATGTGAATTTTTGAAGCACGTACGTCTTATGTGTTTTTGTTAGCTTCTCTCCACTTTTGGTGTTGTTGGGGAGAGAACGTATAAGTTTGATTTTGCTGAAAGTATCAGTGGTTGTTTGGTACGTTGCATTTCTAAATGCAGAAAATAGTGTGTGTAACATATGATATATATAGAAGATTATTCAAAATCCATCGTTTGGATGCTGTTACTTTTGTTAAAGAAATGTATATATAATCTAAACCTATTCATAGTTTAGTTGCAAAAAGTTATTGGATTTGTGGAATTTTTTATAGGAAAGATGTTTCATTGTAAATGAATTGTAATGTAAAACCATTTATATTAATTTCTTAGACTTTTAGTAATGATTTCTTATTTTTAAGGTGGAACCCAATGATTTGATGACAAGACGTTATATTTTTTTGGAAGTAATTGCTTAACCCAATTTTCTACAACAAATGTTGTAGTGTTCTCTGCAAAATGTAAGTCCAATTATCTTGTTGCTAACTAGAAAATGAAAACAAATTTTTACTTTAATATTTGTTGCTACAACTCTAATTTCGTATTTGACCAAACAGTTCCCAGTGATTTTTTTTTAATATAGATCCTCTTGTTTGTTTGATTGTAAATTGAAAATCTTACAGAATTTTTATATGGAATGACTTTTTCATAGAGCATGACCTGACCTAGTCCCTTAATTTGAACAAAATATATATGACTATATTACTAACACTAATCTGATGGATCAGAAATCTCCTTTTATCATAGTACCTAGCACTTGATGTGTATAAAGACAAATTATTCTTCCGGTCAATGAAATAACTTTTTCATTCACTGCAAAGCGTTAGCCTAGCTGGCCGTTCCTGGGATTGCAAAAAATCAAGTCGTAAAATTTACAAGTTTAATTTCAATTCAGGACTTATATATCCTATAGGTACACGAAATTGATATACACAAGATAAGATTAAAACCTTTATATGTTTGATCACGATATCCTACAGGCACGCATATGGATCCTCCAAGATCTCTCTCGCCAAATCATATGTAGACTGTAGCTGCAAATGCTGCTTTTTTTAACCATTTTTATCGAGGGAGAGCCCCTTTAATTGAATATACCAACTAAGTACACACACCTCCATTCACAGCTCCTGCAACTGAATTCCAACCGTAGCATATTGCATTCCAAATGTTTGCAGCGCAAGGGCGAGCAAAAACAGATGAAAACTTCTTTCACAAGCTTTGACAATAGAACATGTTAGGATATGTGGAGCCTAACTATCTGACTTGCCCTATACCTCTAATTGAAGAGGGAACATGAGAATTGAAGGAACACGAACGACGACGATGAAGTTCAGACAAAACGATGAAGGAAACAACATGGAAGCCTCACGGTCGACCGCAAGTGACGCGGCGGTCAACCGTGAACGTGCACAAGACCTAGAAAAGTCTGGACTTTTGGAGGTCAACCGCGACAACATGTGCGGTTGATCGCGCCAAACCCTGTAGTTGATTAAGTTTCTATTGTTACTGTCCGGTCGACTGCGACTGTCTCTGCGGTCGACCGCGAGTCGGGTCTTGGGAGGCTCGTTTTTTCTGAAATGTTTAAGATTCCTGTTTGTATTAACCCTTATGTTATTAAAAAGGTTATTAGGGCAACTTGTAAACTGACGAAAATAGTGGAATTTCCTCCTGCGGCGGCCGTGGACGTAGCTTCTCATATCGAGAAGTGAACCACGTAAATCTTATGTGTTTTCTTTCTATGATTGAGTTTTTCTCTCACTTCTCTCTCATCTTTATATCCAAATTGCATTAGGGGTTAGATAAAACCAGTAGAAAGATTAGGGTTTCTTACTCTCATTGATAGAATTGTTGGCTTATATAGCCTTACACACATATTTACACATAGGCCCTCAATAAACCCTTTAATTGCATTACATTCTCAACACTCCTCCTCAAGACGGGCGAAAGATATCTATTAAGCCCATCTTGTCACACCCTCTAGCTAGATCTACTGAGCTAAGCCCTTTAGTCAAGCAGTCTGCAGCCTGCTCCTTAGTTGGAACATAACCTAACTCCAGTAGCCCACAATTCAATTTCTCCTTGATGAAGAATCTATCAATCTCGATGTGCTTAGTTCTGTCATGTTGAACTGGGTTGTTGGCGATGCTGATAGCTGACTTGTTATCGCACCACAAACTCATCTTGGCCCCTTGATCAAGGTTCAGTTCCACCAGCATGTTCTTCAGCCACATCAGCTCCGCGACCCCTAAGGCCATGGCTCTGTACTCAGCTTCAGCTGTTGATCTTGCCACCACAGATTGCTTCTTGCTTTTCCAGGAGACTAAGTTGCCTCCTACAAATATGCAATACCCTGAGGTAGACCTCTGATCATCTCCGCAGCTAGCCCAATCTGAGTCGCAGTAGCCCTCAATATTCATATGGCCACTCCTCCTGAATCTTAGTCCTTTACCAGGAGCGCCCTTTAGATACCTCAGTATCTGATATACTGCATCCATATGACCCTTCCTCGGGTCATGCATATAGCGGCTCACCATGCTTACCGCAAATGAGATATCTGGGCGTGTGTGACTCAGGTAGATCAGCCTACCCACCAATCTTTGATATCTCTCACGATCAACAGGTTCTCCTGCCTCAGCACTCAGCCTGAGACTCTGATCAATCGGTGTAGCAGCAGTCTTGCATCCCAACATCCCCGTCTCTGCAAGAAGATCCAGTGCATACTTCCTCTGGGAGAGAACAATCCCCTTAGGTCCATGAGCTATCTCTATCCCAAGGAAGTATCGCAGCTGACCCAGATCCTTCACTTCGAATTCTTTGCTCAATCTTACCTTGAGCTGAGCAATTTCCTTCTCATCATCCCCTGTGATGATCATATCATCCACATATACTGCCAACATTGTGATGTGACCTCCACTTCTTCTGAAGAATACAGTATGATCGGCATTGATCTGTCTGTATCCCATACTAACCATGGCTCTCCTGAACCTATCAAACCATGCTCGAGGAGACTGTTTTAGTCCATACAGAGACTTCTTCAGCCTGCAGACCTTACCCACTGTCTGTCCTGTGCTACATCCAGGTGGTATCTCCATATACACCTCTTCCACTAGATCTCCATGAAGGAACGCATTCTTCACATCCAGTTGGTGTAGTTCCCATCCACCATTGTTGCTAGAGAAATCAGCGTTCGAACAGTACTCATCTTCGCCACTGGTGCAAAAGTCTCATCGTAGTCAATGCCGTATGTCTGGCTGTACCCTTTTGCCACCAGTCGTGCCTTGTATCGTTCAACCTTCCCTTCCGGGTTCTGCTTCACGGTAAACACCCACTTGCATCCCACTGCCTTTTTTCCTGCTGGCAGTGTCGCTAGCTCCCATGTGTGGTTCTTCTCAAGAGCCCCCAGCTCCTCATGCATAACAGCCTTCCACTTTGGGTCCTTCTTAGCATTCTGCCAGCTGTTAGGTATAATAACAGAATCTAATGATGCAATGAATGCTCCATATGAAGGTAATATGTGAGAATAGGAAACAGAATGAGCTAGATCCCAACCATATCTCTTAGGAGGATTTCCCGCATTACTGCGAGTAGTCCTCCTTTCTGACATTAGAGTGGGAGGAGGGTTAGGAGTAGGAGTGGTATTACCTAGAGTGGAGGGTGGTGTAGGTGTCTCAGGAGTTAGAGCAGAGCTGGACGAGGGACTAGGCACTGGCACTGTCACTGTAGGTACCTCTAGCTCCTTCCCCCTCCTACTGTATGTAAGCAACTCCCCCTGAGCTGTTGATCTAACACCCCTTGTCTCCTCCTTCTCCCCTTCGTCTTCATCCTCCTTCTCTTCTGGGTACGGGATCGGAATTTGGATTGACCCCCTTGAGCTCTCACCATTCTCCCCTTCTTGCCTCATACCTCCAGTATCGGGCAAGTCGCCAAAAGGTGAAGTAACCCCTACTGTGTAGTACGGCTCGAGTTCCCGAAACCGCACATCCATGCTGACAAACAACCTTTTTTCCACCGGACTCCAGCAGACATACCCTTTTTGGGTGCCATTGTATCCCACGAATATACACTTCACAGCCCTAGGGTCTAGCTTTCCAACCGATGGTCTATTGTCCTTCACAAAGCACACACAACCAAATACCTTCAATGGTAGGGCCCCTTCGTTATCTCCTTTCAGTATCTCACAGGGAGACTTCCACTCCAACACACTCGAAGGCATCCGGTTGATTAAGTAAGCAGCAGTCAAGACTGCTTGTCCCCATACCACCTTTGGGACATTCATCGCCATCATCATACTCCTAGCGACTTCTAGGAGATGTCTGTTCTTCCTCTCTGCTACCCCATTCTGAGCTGGGGTGTATGGGCATGTAGTCTGGTGTAGAATCCCCTGAGCTGACAGATACTCCCCAAGTGTTCTGTTGGTATACTCTGTCCCATTATCCGACCTCAACACCTTTACTGCTGCACCATACTGAGTCTGGATGTGCTTATGAAAATCTTTAAAACAGTCAACTACATCACTTTTGTTTTTCATAAGATACACCCAAGTGACCCTAGAGAAGCAGTCAATAAATGTAACAAAAAACTTGCATCCATTTATAGAATTTACTGGGCAGGGTCCCCATACATCAGAGTGTATTACTTCAAACTTATAAGAACTCCTATTACCTGAACTAACGTAAGAGCTTCTAGTTAGTTTTCCAAACTCACAAGCATCACAATGTAGCTTCTGTTTATTTACTTTTCCATACAGGGTTGGATACATTCTACCCAAAACACCAAAGGATGGATGTCCCATCCGTTGATGATAAAGCATCAACTCATCTTCTGCACATACTTTAGTTCCTCCTGTTCCCGTCCTCTCCACCATAGATGTCAGCGCTGAGTCCATCCCTTCGCGGTCCAAGTACCATAGCCCACTACGCCATGTCCCAGTCCCAAGTCTTCGCCCTGTCCCCTTTTCCTGGAAGATCACCTTGGGAATGTCAAAATAAACAATACAATTTAGTTGAAGGATAATGGCACTAATGGATAACAGGCTAACAGGAAATGAAGGAGCATACAGAATATTAGATAAAGTTATAGAACCTGTACAACTAACAGTGCCCTTACCAACCACATCCTGCGCTGTACCATCAGCGATCTGGATGCTCTCTGCTTCTGCTAAGTGAGTGTAAGATAAGAACTCATTGGCATTGCCTGTCACATGTCTAGATGATCCAGAATCCATTATCCATGCGGTGGATCTTCCCTCATTTGGATGTGCACGAAGGGCGTAATTGG